CACAGGACATGCATCTGCAGAGATGGGCTTAGAGTGGCCACAGATGCTCAAAGCTGGAATCCTTTGCAATTACAATGATGTGCTTTATATCCTGAGTAAGAGCACAGCACACACTCAAACACACACACATTCTAAGCTCTATTCTCATTCAATTGACAACGGTCTGTCCTTAATGGGGATTCTGCTTCTGATGAGAAGCTGGTCAAAGAAAGGTCTAGAACTACCGCTAGACAGAGAGACAACTAAAGAGACCATTCTGGACAGAGGGACACCACAAAGCATCCCCTCATTAGCAGTGTCCAAACACTCCAAGACAGGAACAGCTGTCTCTCAGAGAGGAGAGAGAGAGAGCGGTGTCAAGAAAGGTCAAATAGACAAAAGTTTAGTGAGCTTCTTTTCACACAAGTAACAGAGCAGCAGTCTTTAATCGAACTGAGGAATGCAACATAACAATGATGTAAATATTTAAACTACATGATGTATGTAGTGAATATGTTGTGAATATAGTCATGGCTGAATGGCAACACTTGACATTACTTTTAAAAACAGTTACATTAGAAAATACACAATTTTTAATACACAAAATTATTAATTAAAACATTATTTTAATAAGCAAATGTATTCATTTACATCCTTTTGCCACAAGATAATGGAGCATTGCTGTGCAACAAAAATCTGGATGTTGCGCAGTGATGTGAACAGGTGTTTCACATCGTAGCGGTTACAGTTTTTCTCAATTGCTTTGGCATATTTTTCAAAACAGACTTAATCTTTAAACTGTAAGTGCAATTGTCAAAACTGTTAGCTGAAACATCAGAACCCTATTGCATGTCTGCAAACTCACCCAAAACATTTAATTCATGCTTCAAAACCTAGTTATTTTGTCAGTGACATGGCAAATGCCAACATAATAAAAAGCACTTTTGTCATTGTGTGAGCCACACTGGTCAAAATGTTTAGATGTTTTTTTATTCACCATGGAAATATGTGTTATATGCAAATGTCATTTTATTTCTTTTTGTGTTAGTTTTTCTCAGTCGCTTTGGTGCATTTCTCAAATCATCCTTAATATTTGCAAAAAAGTATGTGCATTTCTCAAAACAATTCGTACAAACAGCACCACACAATGGATTACCTGCAAAAGCCTGTAACTTACTCAAAATCTTTAGTTCATCTCTCAAAAGTAAGTATTTATATCAATGAACATATCAGTGCCATCAGAATGAAAAGTCCTTGTGTCATTGTTCACAAACAAGATAGTCAAAATGCTTAGTCATGTTGTCAATATAACAGTGCACTTTGTTAGTATTACCTGATGTAAACTATGGCAACATTTTGGATGACAGTTACTGTATTGAACAGTGTGCCATATGCTTATGTATGCCATATATACATTTTCAAAAGTACAAATGTACACATTACTGTTTGTGGGATATTGATTGAAAGAGACTGGATAGAATTCCCAGTTACACTTTTACTAGTGGTCTATAAGAAAGTCCATTGTCAGAATTTGTAACTCTTGTGTTGTCCTCTGTCTATACAGTAGGCTATATGCTTTCCAACTGAAGATTCATGAGATGAACCTTTGAGCTATTTCAGATCAATTGTTTATCATTGGTTGATCTACATTCTCTTCATTAGTGAAAGTCAAGATTCACTTGCACAATTCATGCCAAATTTACAAAAAGTCTAATAATAATTAGGTATGCGCCGATCCGATATTCATATCAGGTATCGGCTCCGATAGTGCCATTTTTCTCGGATCGGGTATCGGTCAGAGAGAGCCGATCCAAATCCGAGAATTTTTTTTTTTCCGATTGTGCGCCGAAAGACAATATAATAAAAGAAAAGAAATATACATTATAAATAATATAATAAAATAATAAATAATAAAATACAGGCCTATATTTTTTCATATTTGTTTATTTTATTTTTCTTTATAGTGAAGTATTCTGTATCTAGTAGATTGTGAAAGAATGATTATCAGTTCCAAATGTGTAAAAAATGTGCTTGACAGTTGACCTAGATGAACTAACAACTAGATGAACCATTTTGCATTTAATGACTAATACGATGAACTAAAGACTAGATGTTTTGAGGGGTAAGACTATTGCACAGAGAACTATACAATACATTTTGAGCAACATGACATTAGCAACTGATCATGTAGGAAACTGCAGACAAATGCACATAATCAATTGCATGAATGTACCAAAGCAATCGCAGCTTGTTCAAAAGAATGAGAAACTGCTTTTATGATGTGTACAAATGACTAGATGATGTGGAAGTTGTACAAGTAGTTTTGAGAATGTAATTTCTGATTTGAGAAATGCACCAAAACGACTGAGAAAAACTGTAACAACAAAGTTTGTGGCAATATACTATAAGTGTCAGAGAAAAATTTGTGGTTACACAGAAGTAACCCAGTGGTGTGTTTTAATTGAAAACTAGTCAGTAACTACTTCACTACAGTAGCTTTGAGAAATGCACCAAAGCGACTGAGAAAAACTTTCATTTTGTTTTATGCAATTTCATTTAATTTTTGTTATATGCATTTTTTCTACTTTTTTGTTGACTGCTTTCTATACTATACAAGAATGTCAGTTTTATCTGTGTATCACACAGCATTTTAGATACATAGGCTACTTCAACTGTAGGTAATGTATTGGGAAAAGTCAACACTGTAGTACACAAAAAGGAAATTAACATTTATTTATACAGTACATTTATTTTTGTGTTAAAATAAATGTGTTACATGTAAACTGAAATCTCACCATTGCTTATTAATTTTTACACACTCTGTTGTCTTCCCCTTACACCACGCCACCACACATTCTTACATATCTTTCCATTGCTCTTCCACAACAAGCAACTGTGATTGTTCACAGTTTACACGTAGCACAAATGTACTATACAAATATGTATTTATACAGCACTGCACTGGTTGTGACTGTCATCCTCGTATATATATAGGCAAGATTGTGATCCCCATTTCTTTACAATGGCAAGTAGGGCTAGAAATTTTCCAGTTAATTTCTGGAAACTTTCCAAAAGTTTCTGAAAATGTCAAAAAAAAATCCAAAAGTGTCCAAAATATTCTCAAACTTTTCCAAAAATTCTGGAAACTTTTAGGAAATTTACAGGAAATTGTCCACCCTGTTTTTGTCAAACCTAGCAGACGTTACAACCATTCCACGGCTGATATTTATGGAATTTACACACTAATCTGATAGATTTTGATAATTGAACGGATCATTTTGCATGTGATAGCTCACACGATGAAAGAACTTTGAAAGACTTTGACAATTTCACTGAGAATCAACTCATCGGTTTTGAAACTTTTAGACAATTGCACTTACTCATTTGCACACGTGCCAAAATTCATGCAATTTGCTAAAAACAGTAATTAAAATCTGATGTGAACAAGAAACTAATTGTTCAGACATCTGAACTTATTGTTTTGAAAAAAAAAATCTCATTTGATAACTGAGCCAAAGTGATTGAGAAAAACTGTAATATATTGTGGATTTTAGCACACCTTGAAAGCTGTATCAACTAATCTGAAGCATAAACTGTAACTATCCGTTTTATGAGACCCCATGCATCACATATAAAACTTGTGACTGAAGTGTTCATTCAGTTTCACCTTTAGGGAAAAGGTTTCCTCCTTCTGTCAACAAGTTATTAGTGAACTAAAACCATTTCATAGCAAAAGTAAAAGGCTTCCTATGTTCAATTTACAACTAGTGTGGGGTCCATAAGACCTTTTTCACTTTCATATTGAGTGCAAGAGACTTAATAGAACGGTATTGTGCCAAGCGGAGAGACATTTTGGCCTTTCTTGTTGCAGACTATAGTTTGAGATGAAACACGAAGGCTAGAGGCAGGTCAATTTCTGCAACGCACAAGCTGATGGACAGAACCAATTTCAGCTTCCAAGACCTCCAGACTGATTATATAGCTGAAGAAGTGGTGTGAGGTTGTCTAGACAGAGGCGACCAATGAAATACCAGTGTTAGTAAGTCAGCCTATGTAGGAAGTTCTATCCAATTATTTCTCAAAGTAGTAAAAAGTAAATGAGAAAAGTTTTCTTCATCCCTCAGGGGTAAGACTTTGCTATACTTTCCCAAAATAGCTATTTCACAGTTCATAGCTCTGCAGAGTAAATTGGTATTGGATGCTACAAAAACATTTTATCATTAACACATTAAACTTACACAAAAAAACCCTATGTTATCTGAGCATAATTAAATACTAATAATCACAGAGCCTCACAGCTAAAAATATCCAGCCCAACGCTATACTTGAATAAACCACTGTGGTTTATTCCTCTTTATCAGGAATGATAATGATGATGATGATAATAATTATTTATGACAGCTTAAATGACAGCACACAAAACACTTAGATAATATATGTTTATTGCAGCCACAGCATTTGTCTATTGTTTCCTGGCTTGAACTGATCAATGATCCGTGTGCATTTGAAAACCAAATACAATAAATAAAGAAGTTTAAGTCTTTACAGCCAAATAATGGTATTATATACTCAGGAAAACTAGGAACCCTATTTGGTTTAATACATCTCTAAAATTTCGAAGACACCCTTTTACGTAACATCAGAGAGCAGCTTCACGTTTAGTTCCCGAATCTCATTTAAACTTGTATAAACGTGCTGCTTATCACAGATTACTGTGGCAGTTGAGAATAGTGTTTGATCTCCGTATACAGGACATCTATGTATATGGAAAATCCTATATTGGATTTCTTTGCACATGTAAGACTATCAAAAGAGGAGTCTTTACATGACCTCGGCCTGAGGACACTCTTGTATGTTTTTCAGCTCCAGCAGTTAGTAACTCCATCCTGAGCCATCTTTTTTCCCCCGAGAGGTGTGTCTATTTACTAAACGGGCCAAACGCAACCCTTACCCTGGCTGGCCTGCTACAAAGCTGAAGTGAAATGCTGAAAGATGAAAGCATGGCTGAAGCTGTCACTCACCCCATCCAAGCTACAAGCGTTGCCGCATTCTCATCGTCTGTCACTCATACAGGTGCGCAAAAGAGAGACAAAAGGATACGGAGTGAGAAAGAAATAAACAGGTCAGGGAGTAGACAAAGCTGGTCTGGTGTGGGCCAGTTTAACAGTTTTATGTGTGTGTGTGTCTGTGTGAGATGTACAGCATGGGCTTTGATATGTAGCCGCTTAGTGAATGTATGTGTCAAGGTGATGAGCAGGAACTTGTTGGGTCCTTGATGGCTTGTTTATTAATCACGAGGCTTGTGGGCTAAGTCTCTCATCACCTTAACAGGTATAATTAAGCATTAAAGGGCACGCAAAGCTTGATGCGTCTTAGTCTAGCTTTTAGGTTTCATCCTTACCTCATCCACTCCTTTTGATGTAAAACGGCATGAGAGGAGTTTTGCAATAGAGGCCATTTTGCGTTAAAACGAAGTGATTAACTTTACACTATTCGCTATAAAACTGCTTGGCTCACTTATCTCTCTACATAGATTAGGCCTATAGATTACGTCTCGGCAACTCCTGTATCATTAAAATGGAGTTTCAATTTGTATATATGACCTTCGCTCGTCATTCGTGTGGTAAAAAACTCGTAATTACGATATTTCCGAACAAACGTTCACCTGAAGGGCACATATCCATAATACTCTGTAATGAATCTTGAGCGCGAACGGTGTGTAGTGCGACTCCCGAGCGAATGACTGTTGAACTGGTTCATTTTACTGAATCAAAAACATACAGCGCAACAAGAGTAGTCCAATTCCCGAACGAATGATTCTAGTGAGTCGGTTGATAGAGAATCAAACACGTAGCCCACAGTGAGGCCTTAATACGGTTACGTTTACACCAGGGGTGCCCAAACTCCTGAAAAAAAAAAGGGGTGTCCTGAAGAGTTTAGCTCCAACCCCAATTAAACACACCTGAACCAGCTAATCAAGCTCTTACTAGGCATACTAGAAACTTGAAGGCAGGTGTGTTGAGGCAAGTTGGAGCTAAACTCTGCAGGACACCTCCAGGACCGAGTTTGGGCACCCCTGGTTTATACACACAGTTCGGTTAATGACTGAATGTTCTCACCGTGAACTGACACTCGTTGATTTTGACTCACACTTGCCGTATGAACTGAACCGTATGTTGGCCCTCAGGTGACTGGACTCACGCGCATCTCGAGTGTGCGTTGCATGTTTTGTGTGTTTCGGTAACTTACAAATATGAGCTGTGTGGCATCCTGAAGGTTTCAATCGAGTCGTGACTCGTGACCAGAGCGATTTCTGTCAGTTTTGTGGTCTCCATTCAGGTCAAGTCTGCTGTCGGTTAATTGATTTGACTAACGAATAAATACATTAAATATGTTACCACATTTTTATTTTTTGTTTAGTAATGTTTACTAATGTTGGTTTAAATTGTACGGAGCCCCTAAAGGGACATGGTGGTGGAAAAAAAAATCAGATTGAGTGAAAAAATTTGGGGTGGGAGGAAAAAATATTTGTCAGATTTTTTGCGTTCTCTCGCAAAACTTTTGCATTCCCTCGAGAAACTTTGCGTTCCCTCGCAAAACGCAAATATCTTTTGCGAGAGAACGCAAAATATCTTTGCGAGGGAACGCAAAAGTTTTGCGAGAGAACGCAAAAAAAAATTTCCTCCCACCCCGAATTTTTTTCCCACCACCATGTCCCTTTAGGGGCTCCGTAAAATTGTCTAGTTAAGGCCAGTTATTTGGTTGTAGGGGAGCGCGGGGCACAAAGTAACGCGGGGTAAATTGTAGCACACGTGGTTTAAATATTTCCACACATGCTAGCATAACCAAATTTACAGCATTTAGCTGTTATTTATCAGTTTAAATTATTTTTGTAATGCTTCGCTAACTATCAGAAGACAGTAACCAGTTTTAAATTCCAGTTGCGCAGATGGGGTATGTTGTAAC